AGATATTGTGTCTTAATCAATAGTTGAAGCTGAATATATAACAATATGTATTGCTGTAAATCAGATTATTTGGTTAAGAAGAATTTTGTTTGAATTTGGTGCAATTTAGAAACAATTTACTAAGATATTTTGTGATAGCAAGTCAGCAATAGTTATTATAAAGAATCCAGTTTAATATAGAAAGACTAAACATATCAAAGTCAAATATCATTTTGTACGAGAAGTTGAAAGTCAAGGAAAAATCAATCTAATCTGAAGAACAGCTAGTCGATATATTCACTAAAGCACTTCCAAAAATAAAGTTTGATCTCATCATAAAAAAAACTTTTGTGTTTAGAGAATTTATTCAAGGAGTGTTAGAAAATAAAGAAAATTTCTCAGCCATTATTTCAGAATTACTATAATTAAATTATTTTAAATTTGAATAGCATAAAATATAAATTAGTTATAACCGTAGAAATATTTATGGTTGTAATTTATCATTCACTTGTATAAATAGTTGTTTGTAATTCATTAAATACAACATCAAATAAAAACATATATTACATAAAACACATCTCATTCTTCTCTTTTCTTTTCTCACTTTAAGCACAATTTGCACAATTATCTGGAATATTACCAATAATTAATATGGTAGACAACCATATGAACTTCCTCTAGCCAAAAATTTAGAAGAACAAAAGATTCTAATAAAAGAGTTCTAACAATTTCCAAAACATGGTGGTTTTTCTGCTATACTACCCCGTTTTGTTTTGGTGTACCGGGACATGATTATTGAGCTAAAAATTCCTTTTTCTTGAAAAATTTTGATAAGATCAGGTGCACAAAATTCTCCACTAGAATCTGAATGAAAAATTTTGAACGTTTTGCCAAATTATGTCTCAATCATAGCGATAAAAGTCTTTGTTATGCTTGCTAATTCAGATTTAACTCTTAAAAAATATATCCAAATAAATTGTGTAAATTGATCAATAAATAAAGCAAAATATTGATAGTCTAGTCTAGACAAAACGGGTGAGGTACCCTATAAATCACAATGAACTAAATAGAAATGTGCATCAACATATGTACTGTTAGAAGCAAAATGTAATTTAGCTAATATTTCAAGGGCACAACTTTGATAATTTTTAACTAAAATAGACTGAAAGTTCAATTTTCTTGGAAAAAAATTGGACTTGAACATATACTCTAACTTACTAGCATGTGGATGACCAAGATGACAATGCCATAGACTTTTAGAATAAAATTGGACTTAAACATATATTCTAATATACTAGCATGTAGATGACCAAGATGACAATGTCATAGACTCCACGTTTCATTGGCACATGAAACAAATGAGGATAGTGATGCTGAAATAAAAAGACGCAATAAGGATTGTTTTGTGTGATCCAAGTCAAGATGAAATAAATGTCCACTTTTATGCCCCCTCATGATCGTTTGGCCCGTTTGAAAGTCCTGGACATCACAACTAAGAGAAGAAAATTTAATTAAACAATTATAGTCACTTAATTGTCCAACAAAAACTAAGTTGGTAATTAGACCTAGTATATAAAATATATTAAGCAAATATAAGGATTTTTTGGATATATTAGGTAAGCATATAATACCAACTTCGTTAATTGGTAATTTTCTTTCATTATCTGTTGTAATTGACTGATTTAAAGAATAAAGTTTGATTTCAAAAAACATGTGTTTTTGGTCAGTCATGTGATTAAAGGCAGTAAAGTCAAGATACCAAGGAGCATATTTAACTCCTTTACCTGATAACCCAGCAGTAGAAAAAACAGAAGAGATTGCACTTGGAAGAGTTGACTGCACAGTTTTTTGAATCATCTTTTGGATTGCTTAAGGAGTAAGGAAGGTCTCATTAGCACTTTTTTTTCATTGATAAGACTTTATAGCAATAAAAGCAAATTGGCTTCATTTATTTTTTAAAATTCTACAATCTAGAATGATGTGTCCTGGCTTCTTGTACTAGTTATATATAAATTTCATTTCTTACATTGTGAATTACAATATCTGCACTACATATCTTCTCTACCCCCATGCTTCTGTTTTGGCTAAAATTGAAGTGATAATGGTTGCATCAACTGTATTGAATGTTGTGTCCAATTGTGCATGTGTATTTAATCAAGTTTCTTCACGAACCAAACGTACTTATATACTTCATAGTCAGATTTTCTCGATTGATTAGTGGCCCTTGCGTTTTCAAATTCTAGTTGAAGCTTTATGAGACATTACATCACTCTTCCATGATCTCTTTCTTTCTTAATCTCCTCATATGCTGCACTTGAGTTGGTATTTGATGATATATTATCATGTTTAGTCCATAGTTTCAATATGTTAACATAAAACTATAAATATCTTTTTCCTCTTAGTTAATGTTTGCAATCTCATATTCAAGTTCAAACAGTCTTGATTAATTAACTTGAGAATAAATTCTTTGAAGATGTTGCCATATTTCTACAGTTTTGAAAGATCTAAGACTCAATGCAATTTCATTTTCTACTGAATTCAATATCCATGTAATAATTTGAGTATTCTTGATTTTCTATAGACTATTTTTTACGTTGTAACCAACTTCCTTTTGAGATTTGTCAAGAATAACAGAGAGTCTCTTTTCTTTAACGAAAATCTGAAAGTGAAATTCCCAATGAGTATAATTTTTTCTATTGAATTTGGCATATATGGATTCGAACTTATTTTCCATTTTTCAATTGAATACAAATTGAAAAGATAAGGAAACAAGTTTAAGATTACACCAAATCCTTTAAAGGATAAAATAAACTCCTCAAAAGAATTATCAAAAGTGTATTACATAAGCAAGACTCAAAGAATAGGCTCTGATACCATAATAAACTTTGAAGAGCTGTAATAGTTTTTTAATATATTTTTCAAAGAGTACATGGCTATATATGTACAATAAAACTTGTCTAATTATAGTAATCTAGCAAAAAAAAAATTCAATTACAAATATACAATTAGAATCTCTAAATATTAGGAGACAAACTACAAATTTAGGAGTGATTAACTATAAATCTGCTCGTAAATCTTTAAATTTATTCTTCTTGATACTCATATCTTAGAAAATAAAGAAACAACAAATAATTCTGTGATCATCTATAAAAGCTGAGTATCATGCTTGTGACTTATGGATTATAATAACTCCATTATTTGCTTAGTGACTTACATGTTCCTTATCATACTACTGCTCGATGTTGTGATAATTTATCTCCTACTAAGATTACTGAGAATCAAATATTTTGTGAATGTACTAAGTACATAGAAATTGATTGCCATGTTATTCGACAAAAGTTTGCTGATGGACTCATTCACTTAATGTCTACTCTTTCTTCTCACCAACTGGTTGATTGTTTCACAAAATCTCTTCTTAACTCTACTTTTTAATATGCTACAATCAAGCTAGATATACAAAATTTGTATACTCCACCTTGAGGGGCATTATTAGAATAGTTAAACAATTAGTCAGTCCGTTAATTAATTAGTTTTGTTAGTTCGTAATCAGTTTAAAATTAGTTGAATAAGTTATAATTAGTTTTTTCCTCTTTATATAAATACTCATCTTCTCATTAATGAAAATAGTATCCCGTTTTATTTTCATCCCTAATTACTTTTTCTCCTCTTTTCAAATACTCTCTTGCTCTCCGTCAACTCTCTTGATTCTTTCTCTCTACCGATTGTAAATCACTTACAGTTTCAACGATCTCTATAATATGATATTTGTTTTTCCTTACTTCTCAGTTTTCGAATTATCTTCTCGCGAGCTAGAAGTTTGTGTAGATTCTACTGGAGATTTGCCTCCATAACTAGATCATCTTGTGTTGATTCCTCTTAAAGATTATCAATTTGTTCTTTGAGCTACCTTATTCTCATTATGGTATTTCCAAAAAAATCTTTGTTCCATTGCCCCAACATGTTCCTTGTGTGTTTGATCTTTTGGGAAAATTTGTGGGCATTTGAGCCCAAGAACTATTCATTCCATGCTTCTTCAATAATCTTCGTACTGATGGAGTCTCCTAGCCAAGCAGCTTAAAGAGTCATCTGCCTCTTTTTCCTTAGGATTTTCTCCTTTGAAGTTTAAAACACGATATTCAATATGAGACTAAATATATTATTATTGGGCACTGTTTTTAACTGCACATATTTTTGTAGTACAGATAATCTAGTATCTTATCTTAATTAGCAAGTGGCAGGCTCTCTTTCTCTCTCTCTCTCTGTCTCTCTCTCTCTCTCTCTCTATATATATATATATATATATACAATTTGGCAAAAAGTTGAGGAGGTTCAATCAGGCTATATATCATAGCTATAGGCCACTATTTTTGACGAGAAAATGTAGACATATTCTAAAAATGAAATTATTATTAATGGAGATAATTTCATTTATCATAAACACTATTCATCAGTAAATATAGAAAACAAAATTAAAGTAGAGGCATGTATATATAGATCCATGTGATAAACTGGCAGGAGCAGAAACATTAGATTCTCCCGTGATTCATGAGACGACAAAGATCAAGTTGCAATATTTAAAAAAGAAAACATTTCAGTAAAGGAAATTTAAGCCACTTAATTCCATTGATAAATTAATTGAAGTAGAAAAAATTTAAGCCTTACCAACTTGTTATTGTCATAAATAGTATCAAGGGAGAAGAAAAAGAAATGGGCACTTCATCCAGACTCCATCTCCAATACTTTGTCTTTTGATTTTCCATGAAAATAATTCTGTGCTACTACGTTTTTTTCTTTGTTTCTATATATACACCGCTATTATACTATTGCTAGATGCTGTATATATATTTTTTAGTAAAAAGGAAAACTTAAAAACAAAAGTTTCTTCTCTGGGAAATCCTTCTTAGTCAGAGATAATTATTTTTCTCCATAAGGCAACAACTAATAAATACAAAACACAGAAACTTACCTTGCTTCTCCCTCTTTTCTTTCCCATGAAAAAGAAGGCAATTCCATTCCTGTATTAATACCGTATATTATAACTACATTACTTTCATACACTACTAGTTATGTCTTCCCCAATAACTGAATATATATATATATATATATCTAACATGGGTACGTACCTGCTGAACAATTATCAACTGTTTTTATGATGGCTTCATCAATTTTAGGATTATCCGTAATTCTCTTTACATTCTTTTTCCCTGCAACATCAGCTCTTAAAAATGCTTCTTTTGATCATCATCCCCATCTCTCTTCCATCACATCCTTCTGCAACACCACCCCATATCCAGATGCCTGTTTTAATTCATTGAAGCTCTCCATCTCAATCAACATTAGCCCAAACATCCTCTCCTTCCTCCTTCAAACCCTGCAAACTGCCTTGTCCGAAACAGTAAAGCTAAACAATCTGTTCTCAAATGTCAGGGGCTCCAACAATATTGTTGAGAAACAGAGAGGAACAATCCAAGATTGCAGAGAGCTACACCAAATCACATTATCTTCTTTACAGAGATCCATGTCGAGGGTCCGTTCCGGTACTGATTCAAGAAAGATGGCAGATGCAAGAGCTTACCTCAGTGCTGCTCTTACGAACAAGAACACGTGTCTAGAAGGGCTAAACACTGCTTCTGGTCCACTCAAGCCCACCTTGGTTAACGCTGTGATTAATACTTACAAGCACGTTAGCAACTCTCTTTCTGTTCTGGCCAAGCAAGTTCCTAAACACGGCCATAAACAGCGCCGTCTCTTGGGATTCCCGAGCTGGATGTCGAAGAAAGATCGCCGGATTTTGCAGGTCTCCGGCGACGAATATGACCCGAGTGAGGTCATTACCGTGGCCGCAGATGGAACAGGAAACTTCACTACAATCACTGATGCCATAAATTTTGTTCCTAATAATAGTTACGACAACAGAATTATTATATATATTAGAGAAGGTACATACAACGAGAACGTGGATATACCCAGCTATAAGCCCAACGTCGTTCTGCTCGGAGATGGAAGTGACGTCACTTTTATCACAGGTAACCGGAGCGTGGATGACGGCTGGACTACTTTCAGATCTGCAACCGTCGGTAAAGTTCCAAACTTTAACTTGATTCTCACATTTCTTTTATTAGCATGAACAGCCAATTAGTTTCCTAATCTGAACAAAAACACAATCTTACATGGTTTTATCATCTTTTTCTTTTTTCGACGTTAAAACAGCGGTGTCTGGTGAAGGCTTTCTGGCACGAGATATAACCTTTGAAAACACGGCAGGACCAGAGAAACATCAAGCAGTTGCATTAAGAGTAAATGCAGACTTAGTAGCTTTATACATGTGCAGCGTCAATGGCTTCCAAGACACTCTCTACGTTCACTCATTTAGACAATTCTACCGCGAGTGTGACATATCTGGAACAATAGACTACATATTTGGAAACGCTGCAGTTGTCTTTCAAGCTTCCAATATCATATCAAGAATGCCGTTACCTGGGCAGTTTACAGTCATAACAGCTCAATCCCGAGACACCCCAGATGAGGAAACTGGAATTTCAATACAAAACTGTTCGATTGTAGCAACGTATGATTTATACGACAACTCGAGCAACGTAAAGAGTTATTTGGGAAGACCATGGAGGGTGAATTCCAGGACGGTATATCTTGTTTCCTATATTGATAAGTTTATTGATCCAACTGGATGGATAGCATGGTCGGGTAATGAAGGACTAGATACTTTGTATTATGGAGAGTATGAGAATTATGGACCAGGTTCGGCTACTGATAATCGCGTGTCTTGGCCTGGTTATCACATAATGGATGAGTACGATGCCTACAATTTTACAGTCTCGGAGTTTATCACTGGCTATGCCTGGTTGGAATCTACTTCATTTCCCTATGATGATGGGATATAACTAAATTACATGCATGCTTCCTATATCTATAGGCTTTAATTAATAGCAGTTTTCCAGGATAAGGAGCAAGTGTCCAAGACATGAATTATTTACTTGTCATTTAGATGCAAGTTGTAAAAGTGACAAGTGGTATACAAGGAGGAATGAGTAATCAGAACTTGTTTGGGTGTATAATTTGGTGGCAATGCAATATAACGTAATTATAAATGATCCATGGCACACCATGTTTGGATAAGCTAATATAGGTAATCATATAATGCAATTATTATCATTTTTATAATCATTTTCATAAATTATAATGTGTGTATATATATTGTATATAATCATTTTTGTGTAATTATACTTGAAAAATGTTAAAAATCTTATATGCATTTAAATCGTTTCAGAATCATATTCAAATATTGTGGATTAATATCTAAATATTATTTTAATTCATATTTTACTTAATATTTTTTTAACTAACATTATTTAAAGAAGACAAATACTATGATAATAAACCTACCCACTTCATATCTCTCTGAATCAGTTTATTTTTCTATTTTAGAGGATTGATATGATGTGCCGTGTGGATGGATCCAAGTGAATCGGACAATTGTGGACGAGATGAGCAGCCTCAATTTTTTTGGCAGCCATACAAATTTTCTAGTGTATAAAATACAAAGTAGTTGTCGGTGGGAGACTTGACTGATCTACTAATAAGACTTGTATCTACTAAATTATAACACTGCTTTTTAAGATATTTTGCCATGGATGTATATATATATATACTTGGCAGCTACTGTTGACTTCACAGTCTATTGCCTTCTCTTTTGGTTCACTTTCTCCATCACTAAATTAACCCTTTATAAATAGGTCTCTTCATTTTTTTTTAAAAAAATAATTTATTTAAATTCAATTATTTAAGTTTTTTTAAAAATTATTTTAATGTAAAAACTATAGATTATTATTTTTTTCTAAAATTAGCATACTTTTTTTTTTTTTAAAAAAATAGATTTAATTTATTTTTCTATCGAAGTGGACTAAAAAATATTGATTCAATTTTGTTCATACTAAAATTGAAATGATTTAATATCCAATTTCGACTCCTATTTTTATTCAATCTTCCATCTAAATAAGCACTTTAATTTTCAAAAGTAGGATAAAACTTTAAATCTAATTGGGTACGCATATGCAAATGAATCTATATATATATATATATATATGTATATATATCTCTAGTGCATTTCACCCTAACATGACCAACTCATCTACAAAATAAATATCTAAGAATACCTTATGGCTGGTAGCAGTTGTACAATAATTTTATCGAGGATTTTGCTAATTTGAAAATTCTAAAATATAATATGTTCGGTTGTTGTTAACAAAATAACATTTTATTAAGTTTATATTTAAATGAATAAAGATAGGAAATACGTGAAATTTCTTAAAAAATTGTAATAGTTGCTTATACGAAATTATTAAGATTAATTAATTTTATAAGTTTAAAAACTACTTGAAACAAAAAAAAATTATTTTATACATAAAATTTTAATATAATGAATAGTTTAATCACTAAAACATTAATTCATTTTTAAAATTCTATTGAAAATAAAATATGATAGAAAAAGAACTTTTATTATTTTCTGAACATTTAATATATATGTTTTTTGAATGGGGGTGGGCTGCGATTGCATGTGATGTTTAAATGTAACGACTTTGGAAATTTAAAAATAAATATATAATAATTTAAGTGTAACACCCAAAAATTTCTTTTCATTTTTATTATTATTACATTGTTTTATTTTAATGTAATTTATTCTATATAAATATAATTTAGTATTAATAGAATTTAATTTATTTTAATAGAAATAATAATAATAAAAAGAGGAAAAAATTATTTAGAGATTTAATTAAAAATAATTTTAGGAAAAATGGGTAAAAATTTGGGTTTTGATGATATTTAAAAAAAAAAATCAGAAACCGAGGGGTCAAAACACAATTTAAAAAAGTTGTGACACGTCAGCTGCCCGGTCAGAAGCCCTGGCCAATCAGGACGTGCCAAGTGGTAGAGACACTGACACGGGAGGCCACGCGAGAGGGAGCCACGTGGGCGATCCGCGTGCGCGTGATCGAACTGCTGAGATCCGTTCCCGCGCGCACGGATGGCCCAGATTGTATCGCGCACGGACAGCCCAGATTGATCTCGCACGGACGATCCATATTGAATCGCGATGAACGGTCCAGATTTATTTTCTATTTAATCGTGATCGAACGGTCCAGATTAAAAGCGATGGACGGCTCAGATAAAAAACGGATGGGTATAAATAACCTCATCCACACCCAAACCCTAACCCTAGCTGCCAGAGCCCCTCGCCGGAGAAGACGGCCCAACCTCCAGGGAGTCGACCGCCGCCACTCGCCGCAGTACTGGAGCAATTTTCGGCCCCTAAACGAGGTAAAAATTCTACCCTTTGCTCGAAATTTGATTCTAAACCCACCTATGGCCAAATCGGAGTGAAAGCACCGGCTAATTGGTCGAAAAACGCCGTCGAAGCTTAGCAGCGCCGTCGCAGGGTGTCTCGATTTTTGCCTCTGATGAGGCCCTTCCCGATTCCTGTTCAATGTGATTTTTCTACAATTGTGATCACCGTTTCCTCCTCTACAGGTTGACCAAAGCAAAACACCCAACCGCGACGTGAGCCAGAGGAGCCACCGCACCAGAGAGCCCCACCGCCAGTAAGTTTCAGTTTTTTATATTTTTTCGGTCCACCGAGGGCCCTAAGTGTGTTTTCTCACAGGAACCGATGCAAGTTTGGCTGAATTCGACTGAAAACGGTCGAAAACAGCTAATCCGAGGCTGATCGCCGACGCCGGAGCACGGCAAAGCCACTGTGCCGAAATTTTAAAATTGGCCGAGTAGGCTCTGGGTCTGATTTTTGGGTTATTTGGGATATGTAGGTACCGTAAGCACGTTTCAGTTCCCGAGAAAAATTTAGGGAACATAAGGACCGCCCATAGGCGCAGTGAAAATGTAGTTTTCAGCATCAAATCAAGTAAGGACCCCTCACTCTATTTTCTATCATAGAATTAAAGTTAGAATAAATGGTAATACTGTATTTTGTGCAATTAAGAGATATGCATAATTAATTAAGGTTGCTAATGGAGCCCGAAATCGGACATTATTCCCTGTCGATTCCTGCTTGATTTATTTTACAATTTAAATGCATTATGGTATCTGGTTTATCTATTATATGGTTTTAAATGTATGAATCACTGCTTACTTCACTACTGTTTGATTTTGGGAATATAAGATATGCTTGCTTTATTGGATGCAC